GGATACACCTTGTGTCTGGTTATCCAACATTACCATGTTCATATGCATTTAATCTAAGTACTGAAAGGCAGTGGGAGCACACAACGAATATTGAAAAGAACATATTCCCCAAAATGCTGGAAGTGGATGGGTTAAACCTTTTTGGAATACTGCTTTATCTACATGAGAATTTTCCCCCACCTTATTTATACAAGAGGCAAGACTAAAGAGGCCTGTGGACCATCCAAATGAATGGCGGGGACTGGGGGCTAAACTGCACATGTGTGAAACAAAAGGATTTCTGGGGTTCTGCTGTGCTTATGAAATGAAGCATGCGTAGGCAGGGAGAGCAAAAGAGCTTCTTGTTAAAGATCAATGGTGGGAGTAGGGGGGAGACACAAAAATGGTGGATGAAAGCAGATTGTTATCTGGCATAAACAACAAGGGAACAGAGGAAGTTCAGCAGACCAGATGCTGTTGTCTGGGAAATATTATGTGCTCATGATTAGGTCGCAGACAAACTGGCATTTAATGTGTGAGTCATGCAATTAAGCAGAATTCTGAGTATTTCAACCTTTATATTTACTAAAGAATGTTGCTAGCACTCACGCGGACAAGTGCACCCATCTGCCACCTGGGCCCTTCCCATTCTAATCCAAGATATCTACCAGGATGAAACCAGTATTTCCTCCCTGCCATAACAATCTCTGGGTATTCCAATTAAGATTTTGCCAAAGGTGAGCTTCCTTGTATGGGAAAAAGGGGGGATGTATGCATAGGAGCACAAAGATAGCAAACACTGCAGACAAAGGTTTGCACATCACAAAAACACTCCCATGGAACTCCTACAGGAATATCCATTCGTATGAACCTTAGTTCATGTTTGCAGGTATGCACATTAAAAGGAAAAGTAAACAGAGAGCACTTTACATAAAGATTTGAAAACCTGCATCTGGAAAAAAATCTAGTGACAAACCAGGCGCTGTGCTTAAAGCATTCTTGCTTTGTGCATATTTCTGCCTCCTACACTGGTGCGTATATATAAGAAAGCAAAATCTGTATTTGTAAAGAACTCCCTGGAGCCGTTTGTATAGGAAATTAGCAACACTCCTGGAAGTGCCAATGTGTACTGATGTATGTGAAGGGGCGCAGGAGAAGAAAAGAGCCTATATAATCCCGTCTGTGACTTTCTTGCACTCACATACGCCTGCTTTGTGGAATCATCACACCACTGTCAGGTTCCCCACAGGTCACCTATATTCTCACTACAAGGACACAGCAGCAGAGAGGCATTTTCTGCTAGAATCTGACAGCCTGCAACTTTCTGAGGCCCTGGCTGGCTAGCTAACTACACCATCTATCGTCCTTGATATTCCTACATGGACAGATGAGATGAGGGAAGGGACCTAGGCCTGCCGGCTTCATTTACAACCTTAGAGAAATTGGAACTCCCAACAACAGGGCATTCAACTGCAAGAGGAAACAGGCAAATTTTTCAGGTAATTGTGTCGCTCCATGTTAAATAAACTAGCATGGTTATTATGGAATGGCCTACATTTACAGCATGGATCTGCATATAATGTGAACATAATCTAAAAGGAAAGGGGAAGGTGGGATGTAAATAGCTGACGTAAACCAATGCCAATGGAAGAGTGAGAACACATGTGGAGAATGGTGGAAGACTATAATGAGTGGAAGGAAACTGCTTTGGAGATGCAGTACCAGCAGATGATAAAAATACTTTCTTAAATTTGAAGCATTAGACCCTGAATCCATAACAGTCTGCAATGTCTGTACAAATCAATGTCAGCTAGGCTGGTCAAGCACCAAGCAAGCCAAGAGGGAGGAAAAGGGTCTGACAACGTTCACATTTCAAGGTAACTCAAAATTCAATCCTGAGCACATTTACTTGGATGCAAGTGGGGGAGGAGAATTCTACAGATACTGCAAAAACAGCAGAGCTAGAATGCATCAGGAAAACAGCCTGAACGTTCATTCATTAAAGCCACTTGGTGCAATCCTCTAACAGAGGTCAGGATCATTTACAAGCTACCAAGATAAGTGCATGCAATCCATGACATACCGTTCCACAACAAAAAAAGAACAACAACAGAATGTACTTCGGAAAGGTTTCCTGTTATAACCAACAGAAAACCCAAAAGGAGCAAGTAACTTAAAATCCGGCAGAGAATGAGGTGGCTGGATGGAGTCACTGAAGCAGTTGGTCTGAGCTTGAGTGGACTCCAGGGGATGGTGGAGGACAGGAAGGCCTGGAGGAATGTTGTCCATGGGGTCACGATGGGTCGGACACGACTTCGCGACTAACAACAACAAACTTAACATCATTTCATTGTGCTTACAACAGACCCTCCTCAAATTATGTGACTTGTCAGACTGAGCATAGCCCATTGGTATTTTGACCTGCAAGAAACCACCTATTTCTACTGCTACAGCTACAAAACTTAGTAGAGATTTCAAAGACATGGCAGACCACAATATATAATTAGAAGACTACATATTGCTTGGTTTGCCACAAACAAGCCTGGCTTAGAATCACAGCCTGGAACTTGATCAGCCATGGAGGGAGACCTGCTAAAATATACAGACAGAGAGGCTGTTCACACATTACAGAAACAAATGTTGGATTAGTAACCTATTGTTTTCCATGGCATCTCCTGACCACACTCTGCAGCTATTTGAATATTCAACCAAGGATTGAGGGATGCCAAACTGGGACAATGTAGATTGACTTAAACAACCCACAATTAATCTAATTACTAAAACCTGGCTCACACATACCACCCTCTTCCGCTTTTACCCACTAACCCACAATTGGCTGCTTCTTTTTTTTTAGTTTGCTAAGTATCACTTTGAAATGGTTTGTTGTTTGGTTAACCACTGGGTTGTTTAAACCATTAAAAAACTGAGTGATCTGTTTGGATGAGACACTTAGCAACCTATAAAGGTGCCCATCATGGATTATTCAGTAAAACCAGATGCAGTGGGTGTAGAGGACAACCTCATCAGTTTTCAAACTTATGAGTTTCTGCTCTGTATGAACAGGCCGTGATAATAAATTAACGATAGGTTGTTTAATCCATCATTAACCTATAGTGACTGAGTTTGGACATCACACAGCAATCCCTCATCACCCTAACTAGGAGGTGAATATTCAAAATGGCAAAGGAATGCAACCAGCATGCACTGCAGCAAATCATAGGTTAATTAAGCCACAATTTTGCCATTATGTCATGCAAACTAGATCAGAGGATGTAGCCAAGGTATAGCTCCAGACTTTTATTTAAAATGCTACACACATGCCCCAAAACCGAAGAATGAGTAAAGTGAACATCCCAGTGCTAATTTGAACTCAGGATTTTAAGCCTATTCTGAGATTTGATAGGAATGAGTACAGGCTCTGTTTATAGATGTCAGTTCCTTTTTTTCAGTTCACTTAAAAACTTGCTGGGTGAAAACATGCAAGCTAGGGAAGGAAGAATGAGGCATACATATTGGTTAAACTAAGAACTGAAGCAAAGACAGAAACAAACAAATGAACAATACTCCATTCAGTGATTATGGGTATTTGGTAGAGGAAGTAGCAAATTGATCTTTTTGTCTGTCTATGGTATGATATAAATTCATATACAGATATACACACAGAAACACATCCTATGAAGGAAAAGCACCAACAGCACCATTCTCTTGCCACTGACAATATCTTTACAGATACAACCACAAAAAGGTGTACTGAAAACAAAACTAAGCTAGTGCAAATATGTACCTGTGTTTCAACTTGTGGCACACTGATAAACCTGGATAGATGGAGGTCAAGAGACTATCAGTTTACAAAAGTTTCCCTGCCCAATTTTGCAGAGGCAATTCTGTATAGCCCTAGCTGAGCAGAGAAGGGTTATTTACAAGCCTGTACCCATGGTATTTAGTCCCTTACATATAGCATTGTGTATAACCATTCTTTGTTCCCATTTATATCCACTCTAACTCACTTGATTATTTCACTATCTAGTAATAAAAAGTTCTGTATCATCCTCAACTTTCTTTTTTTTGGGGGGGGGGGATATTATCACAGACTAACTAACAATTAACACAATTCATGGTAGATGCATTTTAGAACTTGTGTGACCTGGCTATGTGCTTCTTTTGAGAGGGTCTCAAAAAGGAAGAACCCCAAGAGCATGCAAAGTAAGTATCACAAGGTGATCGGTGGACTCTAAAAAGACTGCTGAGGGTTCCATGCTGCCACTCAGAAGCCCCACCAAAGATGTGACTTTGAGTCAGAGGTTACTGAACAAGGCCCTGGCTGACTCAGATATTCTTTACTGTTTTTAAAATGCAGTAGACAAGGGAATCAACAAGATTAAGGGAACTGAAATTTTCCCAAGTCATTCCCCATGAGACTTACTCAGCATTTCCCAGTACAAGCAAAAAACACTGAAAAAGTAGACAGATCAGCAATGCCAATAACCTCAAAAGAGAAACCATCACATGAAGAAAATACCATCTGCCCTTTTTAGAAACAGAGAAACCAAGAGCTGTTCACAGCCTGAGTGCTCAGGAAATTTAGGAAGTTAACTGTTCCCTCTGTGGTAGCCTGAAGCATCTATTGGTCAAGCCCTTGACTCAAAAGCAGCAGAATAAATCAAGGTACTTCAGAAGGTAAGAAAACCCAGCCACATTTAGAAAACACCATCCACCAGAAAGTGGCTGATATATCAAAATAGGTACATGAACTAAATAAATCCATTCAAAATCCACTGCCGCCTTCAACACAACCATGCCTTTTTCCAAGTCACTTGACATATACAGGGATATCTGCGGCAGAGTCCAGAACTAAACTGTCCTTCCTGCAATGAGCTGTTCAAACGAGATCCATATCCAACACATCTGGAAGTCCTCCTTGACTGCCAAGGCACCCGGCATGCCGGAATTCTTCACTGGCAATAGTAACTTCAGCTTCCAGTTGTGCCCTCTCCCACGCAAGATACCAAAAGGTAACCTACCTTCAGCCACATCAGCACAGGGATTGGTGGTCTTGTCAAGGGCTGGCTCGACTGCCTCAGTGGCCAGTGAAGTGGTCACTCTGGAAAAGTCGCTGGCGGCCTCACTGCGGCTTGTTTCAGGCACGCTTTCTCTGGAACTGAAGCGAACACGGGAGCTGGAGCGTGAGCTGAGGTCTGGGCTGGTGTCAGACAGGCCCGGGATATCATCAATTTTGGTGGGGGTTACCATGAATCGGACAGAAGCCATCTTGGCAGCAGGAATGGAAGGGGAAAAATTACTTCCGTGATTAGTTTACCCAAGAGTTCACTGGAGTGCTAAGCAGGTGAAAGGAAGAAGGGCAACAGTCGCCAACTGTGTTACCAAAGCTGCCCTCAAGAGAAAGATTCATGTCTAGCACTAATCCACAAACTGACACAATGTTTTCTCTAGATATTAATTATTATCAGGTGCATATTCCGCAAGCATGGCCAAAGATGGTGCAAGGATGATATCCCATGATTTCACAGACTAGTATTTCATGGATGAATCATTCAAAGCCTTCCATTTATCAGGCAAATATGGCAGTTTTCTGTTTCCGGAGACAACCTGCAGATCCAAAAGCAAGGTGGCTTTGCTTGTAATCTTTGTCTGCCAAAGGACTGCACCACACACTTCTGGCATTACATGCGCCTATAAGATCCTGGTCAAAATTTCTTTTAGGCGGGGTTTTCTTTTTTTGGCACAATAAAATGCATAGAGGTAATTTCTTCCCACCTGGGAAAATCCAAGTGCAAAGATCTGAAAGGTGCGCAAAAAGGCTAGAGGATTCCTGCTAAAAGTAAGATCATAATCCACTTGCTTTCCTTGTGGTTCTGGCTTCTTATCACAAACCAAAAGAGAGAAATGTCACAGTGTCCCAGTGCAAGAACATGGGGGGGGGGGGGGAGAAAGCGTAGGATGCCCAATTACTCCACAGGTTCGAGGTGATTTTTTCAAAAGTCCTGACAAGAGAAGATAACCACTGGATGGGCCTAGGACAAGGGAATTTCCAGCCCTTCAAAAGCACAAGAGAACGTGTTTCCTACAGGGTCCTGGAAAAACAGAGTGCATATATGTAACTCTAATGTCTCACACAAAACTGAAACTGCAGAAATGAGTCATTTCTATGTAGGGTCCCTTGGTGCATCATGTGCCTTTCCCAAACTCTCCATCCTTGGGCATACGTCCCATGCAGATTCCAGCCAGGTTCAAAACTGCTACTGTGAGCAAGTCTCCAGAAAGGAAAGCGCAGAAGCATCTGAGCGCGCGACACATTAACAAAAAGGCAACAGCCAGCGCAGAGTGGGGCGGGACTCATCCCCTGCAAACAGAAACGGGGGCACGTTCCGTTCATGGAGACGATCAGCGTACAGGTAACGGCACACGAGGACTCTACAAAACAGCCGCAAGCTCTTCGAGGGGCTGAAGTCGGCTGAGAAAGACCAAGCCATGAAGCGGCGATGAGAGCACCGCAGCGCGCCAGGCAAGATGCAACGTGCTGGAGGAGCCTGCTGGTTCGTGCCAGCGCTAGGAAGGGCTTTCCTTCCGTGTTAGCCAGCGCATTGGCCATGCATACAAGTCTCCTCCGTGCTGCCTCACGACGGGCAGCGTGCAAGCATGGCCCTGGAGGCGGGAGAGGGGGCCGCGAACAGGGACTGGTGCGGGTCTTGCCCCCTCGCCCAAGTCAACGGGCAGAAGCTGGGCGGCAAAAGTGCGCGTGCGCGGCCCCGTCTCGTCTCTCCCTCTCCCTCTCTCGCCCTCGCCCCCGCCCCCTCCCTCAATGTGCAGCCCCCGAAAAAGCCAAGGCGAGCCGTGAGTGGCCGTTGCTTGTTTACCTGAGGCGCGCGACGCCTGCCGACGTTCCGAAGGGTCCCGCGCGCGGACTTCGCCGGCGCGCGCTGTTGCTGCTGCTGCTTTCGCTATTGCTATTGCGGCGACGGCGGCAGCCGCAGCTCCTGCCCGCGCGCCGCTATCTCGGATGCCGGCTGCTGTGTGGGAGGAGGGAAAAAGAGCAGAACTCTCTCCTCAGTTGTCCTCATCCTCCCCCCGCCCCGCGCGCGGCCACCTTCGCTTCTGCACATGCGCGGAAGCGAGTAGCGGCCACTGTTGCTGGGCTTTCTTCTCTCCGAAGAACCGCTAGGAGGGGGGAGGGGCTGCCTGGGCCAGCGAGGGGGGCGAATGGGGACGCGTTGGGGGCGAACTACAAGCGCGTGAGGGGTGCTGGGAGTTGTAGTTTCTCTTCGGTGAGGGGGCAATGGGGCAAATAGATGCCAAAATAGGTGGGCGCCAACTTGATGGTTATAAATTGTGAGGAGGAAGATTTTGATACGACAGCCGAATCGGGGAGACTTTAGGGAAGCGATGGACGACCGAGGCCGAAATCCTGGATACCCCGTTAAGCAGAACCCAGAGAGACTTTCTTCCGAGTAGACGTGAGGAAAGATCGCGCAGTCAGCCACTCTATTCTATGGATCGCCCTTACTATTGGTTCAGGGTAGGTTAAAGGGGCTTTTAAATTCCTGTTTTGGCCCCAAAAGCACTTTTTAAGAGACTAAGCCCATCATCTGTGGGCCACAGCAACACTGAAGTAAACCAGGCGCTTTGAAATATACCCCGCTGTAATGTCATATTCTTTCAGAATGCATGCGAGTCTCTTTATAGGTCGATTTCCTTCAGGAGAACAGCTTTTTTCCTCTCTCCAGGTCTTGAAATTAAGGCACAACCCTTTGTGTATTTTAGGCAGGGGTGGGGAAGCAGGTCCTACAATTTCTCTAGGGATTTTTTTTCTCCTGTAGCTAATGTTGATGCTATTGAGAGAAGCAGGGTAGGAATAACAGAGGAGTTATGAAAGAGTGGCTGTGAAAGGTACTGGATACCATAAAAAAAGAGTGCCTCTGAACATGTAGGAAGGACCCAAGTAAACACATTCTGTACAGAAATGTATCCAGAATGGATATGGGTCAGGGCTTTGTCAGAACAATGTAGGTCAGCATGAGCCCCAGTACATCTTACATGACTTCTTTTTACTTTACCATCCCTTTTAAAAACCTCTCCTAAGATTACTTACTAGCAGTTAAAACTTCAAGCTACAATTCACTGATATTTCAAGCTTGCCCCCCCCCCCACCTTCCAGAATTTGGCCCTCAGGAGCTTCCCCAAAATTGAATTAGACTCTTGATTGAAAAAGGTTGCCACCCCTGCTCTAAACACTACACCACACCGCATGTGCAGTAGTTTGGTAGTATTGTTAGTGAGGTTATTATTTCTCTGCCAAATTATCAGAAAAACAAACAGATTGCTTCATATAATAAAAACCACTAAATTTCCAGCTTATTTGTATACTGCAGTGGAAAAACTTGAACATGATGGGCCCCTCAGACCATAATAAGATAGTCATATGTTTGAACTATGAGCAACCATCAGCTTCTGGCATGCCTCCACAAGCACTCATATGCGTGCATGAGTCTTCCTTGCTCGAGGACACACATTTTCTCATTTACATGCCCTTGCTGGAAAAAATGGCAGAATGGCACAAAAGAACATTAATTTGGGAACTATTAACTTGTGTCATGCATGACTTCCACCCTGGCTTTCACATCGTGAAATCAAGCAACAACAGCCTTTCTGCTTTATTGCCTTTGACTGGCTTTCCCCACTTCTGCTGTGGTTTCAGCAGCAGGATGCAAGCAAGAAGCTCTTCAAAGGGCTGCCCTTGACTCAGCTTAGCCATAAAGAACTCCAATTTGAGGCAGGAAATGGACCAAGGTAATACAATCATACAAAATAGAATTTACAGTGAGCAAGCCATGTTACTATTACTCCTCTGGAACCCTGCTATACTAGTAGCAGAAACAAAAAACAAAAACACAGCTGCTGCAATTAGCTAACCACCCCCTTTCCAAAGCACCTTTGACATCCAAACAGCTGTTGAATAACTGCTGAATATCAGGTTATATGCTCAGGTACACAGCAAGGCAGGGGGGGAAATCCCCTTTCTAGGAGTGTCAAGACCATGCAAATATATCTAAGACATACACATGGTAGGCGTATCATGAGTGGAACCGGCTGGAGCTGGGGGTTAGACTAGATGGCCCAGGAGACCCCTTCTGACTCGCGCTGTTTCTATGTTTAAAACATAGCAAACAAGGAGGGAACATGTCAAAATAATTTGTACAGATGTTTCCAGAATCACTTTCTGAAAGATACAATGTGCCATCTTGAGCTCATGTCCATTAGAGAATACCCCAACCATCCATCTAGTCACAGTCCCTATAGAGAAGAGATTAGGGATGACTGTCCTCCCAATATAAATGTTGAAAGTGACATTCTTGACTTCATTCTCATTGCTTTGACATTTATTTCAAAGTCTGAAAGTTCATTTGCCACTTCATTGGCAAAGACTTTTTTATTCAACAAGAATTCCTCGGTTCTATCTTCTGATCTGGGGTACAATAGGATGTCATATGCTGAAGAGTATTAAAGGTATGGGGCAAGATCTTGTTGAGTCCAGCCTGAGCAGGAAAACAGGACTTCACAGCCTAAAGGAACAATCCTGTGCTAGACAACAAAAAAGGTCTGTAACTCCCAACATGTCCCAGCCATCCATGCTGGCTGTATGAGTTATAGAATTCTCTTCCTTTTCAAAGATTTATAGGTCTGCACCCTAAAACACTGCATGTGCGACCTAACAAGATTAACATTGCCTAACAGCAATATGTTGCCAAGTGATTCATAGGCTATTTTTGCAATCATAGGGAGATAGCTAGTTAAGTTTCTGAAGATCTTGCTAGTTGTTGAGCTCTGTTTCACCTCATATATGACAGGATAGGCGAGTTTGTCTCAGGCAATTTACTTGTATCTGATCACTTTTTAGCTTAAGTAATCCCTGTTCCCCTGAGCACACCAGCACAGATTGAAACAGTTACATGTTACCTTCCAAAAGGATTGGTGATTTTTCTTGAAGTAAAAGGAATTGAGGGTAACAAAGTATGAAATGACCCATGAGAAAACCACTGACATTCTGTTCAGGATTTATAAGTGCCATTTTGTTTTGCTTTTCCACTCAACCACAAAAGTTGTCCCTGCAACACACCTACAACTGTGTCACACAGAATAATTCTTACAAAATGATCCCTGCTCTCCATAGTTTCTATAAAATACTAAATGCTACCAAAGTTTTTTTTAAAGTTAAATGGGGATCATGTGAATTATGATGCTTATGAGGTGGAAAGGTCACTGAACACATCGGTCAAAACCAGTCTCCTTGGATTCCTCCGTGATCCTTACAATAATACATTTACCTGCTCAGAAATCAGAAATGGAAATTTAATTTTATTGCTAGAATTATATAACCATATAGGCACAAATGAAAGAATTCAAGCTCTTTTGCAAAATGCAGGCATTTCTCTGCTTCTACAGCACACTAAAGGAATTAAAACTCTAGGGTTAAGGTGGAATGCAGGAAGCAGTTCTGTTGCTGTTGCTACGCTTCATTAGCTTCCTCAAGGCTGGTTTGGAAGAAGCTTATGTTGGCCTCAGCTGACATGGGGTAAACAGTTTACACAACCGGCCGAGGCTGCTGGGTCATCAGGACGCCAAAGCGTTTCTTGATTGTGATCCTGTGTCGAGAATATTTGTCATCCGGGGAGAAGCGGGCAGGATGGGCTGAACATGTTGGCTGGCCGGAGGGATCTACCTTCTGCAGAACAGGGAAGAAAAGGCAAAACCATTTGTACACAAATGCTAATTTTAGCAAAAATATACTAATCCTCAAAGCCATGTATATATATTAATTTATAAATCCAGAACTTGCCCCATAATGCAGTACAAGCTGAGTGAGACACAACAGGCTTAGCTGTATCTTACTCTGCAGAGAATCATATTATAATGGGTTTATTCTTGATGAATAATATTAAATGTAACAATATACTTATCCCAATCTTTTGATCAAATGATCTCTGATGCAGCCTGCAACAGGTTAAACCAGGCAAAACATGAGCTCTGGTCAGTTAAATCTAATGTGTAACTGTTATCACTAGCATCAGTAGACTGCATCCTCTTAATGATACCATCTGATATCAACAGTTAGTACAGTAATTAGAACATCAGATTAGGTCCACTTAGAGTCCTCTCCGAGTACATCTTTTAGTGCACTGGCTCCCCCTCTCTGTGGAATTCTTCACCAGTCAATGTCAGGGAGCTGTAGACACTGCTTTGCTATCCCGAGTCCGCTAAATACATTTATTCTTTGAATAAGCTTTCCCTAGATAGCTAGCCACAGGTTTCTTGGTATTCCTTCGTTTTAAGGTTTTATTCTTTTGCATTTGTGTTTTGTGTTTACGGTTTACTGCTCAAGGAAAAAGAAATTAAAAATACACAGCAGTTTAGAAATGTAAATAAACAGATAGGACTGCTAGCAAGCCTGGGCTTCCCTTACCTCTACAGTCACACAGATTCCCAGATGATCCTAGACCAGTCACTTTTTCTTAATGTTCCCTACCTCACTAAATTGCTGCATTTAAAAAATAGGGAGGAAAGGAGTGAGAGTCTTGAGCTTCTTAGAAAATCAAAATGTTGCAAGAATAATATTACATAAATAATTGGTATTCCAAGTTTGGCCAGCAAAACTAATAGAGGCATTCTCTTAAGTTTTACTTAAAGCCCTGATCTCTTTCAGAATTGATTATCTTTTTCTACTGACTGGGCAGAGTTAGAAAAGTTACATCTTTATCAGCCTAACTTTACTTAAACAAACATTCATTAATTTAAATGTCTTATCAGTTTCCACACCTGTAGGGAGGGACTACATTCCCCCTCCCTCTGCTGAGGAGAGTAGCTGTTTTACCCTTTTGCAGTGTTTTCTTTTTTTAAAGGAGTACTTGGCCAGTTTAAAGACTGTCAAATTTAGTCTGGTGTGAGCATTCACAGACACTGTTCACATCACCAGATCCATGAAGTCATCTTGTGAAGTGGACATTGTCCAGAAAAGCTATCACCAAAACAAATGTGTTCCAAGACTCTTTGTTGTTGCTGTTGTCTTTAATGTTAAGAGGAACATTTTGATAGAAAGCAAGACCCCACGTCCTGATCTTGACAATCCTGTTAAAGGGCTGACCGAGGACAGCCCTCTGTTTGATGAACTGGCAAGCCTCTCTCTTTGGTTTGAACTCACAGAAGATGCCCATGAATTTTGGCACCCAGACTGTGCAAGCATGCAGAGCAGCTGGCCAGTCTTCCTCCCTGTGATGAGACATCCTATATTTGTATTTGAAGTACAGTTACTTCGACATGTAAACTATACATATGCCAATATTATATAAACTTGCATTCTCTTTTGACCATTTTGTCCCTGCATTTCCTTCTTTTTTTTTTTTTGTAGGCGGAGGGGATAACATGAACGCTGTAATCCGAAGTCCCCCACCCCCTGCTAATGATCTTTCACCAAACTGCACATTTCCAGGCTCTTCTTAACTCCCCTCCCCACACACATCCACAAGAACTAGAAACATGTCTTTACTCAGTTTAAGAGAGAGTGTATGCATGCGTGTGTCTGCACGCGCGCTAGGCGAATAGCTGTATTGCAATGCTAAATTCTGGGCCACTAATTCATCTACAAGCAAAGATTCCACAGTCCATTTCGCTTTTGACCCAAGGAAGGAGAAACCCTGAGCTGCGGCTCTGCACGGGCACCTCAGGACTGCCTGAAGTGGGAAAACAAGGGCAGATGAAGAAAGCAGGCTACAATCTGGCATCGCCGGGAAAGGGAGAGGGGACAAGAAATCAGAGGTGGGGTTTACGGAGGATGGGAGCAATATCCTTACCTTCAGGGTGTAAACTCTGTCCCCTTCCTCACTGAGGTAGTACTGCAAGAACATTGCTGCTAGAGATCACAAGCTAACGCTGCCACGAGGTTTATTGCAACTTGACTGCCTTTCCGCTGACGGTATTCGCGTTCCTCATGCATGCACGGCCTACACCACTTCCTGGGCAATGGAGTCCCTCAATCCTCCAATGAACGAGCTCAAGCGAAATGGAGCATTCTGGGAGTTGCAGTCTTCCAATGTTAATGCTCATTCGCTAGGGGGCGCACGAGCCTCAGCGCAGGCCCGAGAGTTGCCCAGGGTATCCTGGGAAGTGTAGTCCCTTAACTACACCAAATCTAGCCTCTAGAGGTGCAAAGGCCGTATAGAGGCGATGAGGTGGGTTGGTTTCCCTTGTTGGTTTCCCTTGTTGAAATTCTGCATTTTCATTCGGCATTCAGGACCCTCCCTCCAGATAGATTTATAGATTAATAGATGTTGTGCATTGTTTAAACTAAGTTGGCCACTTTGTTCCTTTTTCATAAAAAATATTTGACAAATACAATCACACTTTCAGGCCAGCTTCAAAAAAGCCAAATATTTAATTAAAAACTGCATTTTTTGTTTTGATTCCTAGAATGGTTAGTGGTAGTGAAGTACATGCCCTGAATCTATCTATCTATTTATTTATTTCATTTTACTTATATACTGCCCCATAACCTGAGCATTCTCCGAACAGCTTAAAATGCTATAATAATTCACAATTTCATCGTAAATCTAGGTTAGATTGTTATGTCCAGAAAATGTTTGCTGTGTAACTGAAGCATATCTGTAGTAAATCAGTCTTCTGCAGCCTGTGGCCCTCTAGATGTTTTGGCCTGTAACCTCCTTCAGCTCTGGCCAGTGTTGGAGTGGTAGTGCAAAACATCTGTGCAATGTCAGTTTGTGGGGAGGTGGACAGCTTGTACTAAAAAGGCCAACTTGGGAGTGAAAACAAGCCTTATATTGCATATGCAAATTGCATATGCAAATTCACAGTTTTTATTTAGGCGTTAGCACTGCTTGCTTATTGCCCATGACAGTAGAAGACAGGCCAAGGAGAAAATGCAAAGTTAATCAAATATACTAGCAAGTATTTCATGTACAGATATATCAGTCATGCCATTTATCCAGGATGTTTATAATGCTGCCTATGGATACAAAAATGATGGCATGCAATAATCTTCTGTAAAACAATTGTTGTTTTGATCCCATTCAAATGATAACTTCAAAAGGATAACCATGCAATCTATATATGTCTACCCAGAACCAAGTTCCATTAAATCCATTGGAATTTACTCCCAGATAACTGCAACCTAGAAGTAGAAATAATCCCCATGGCAAACACATACATATGCCTTAGTTTGCTCACATTAACTTTCACATCGTAAGAAGCAGCAGCACTGATATAGAACTTAACAGATTTTCATTCCTATTAGGTTTTTTTTATTATTTAAAATGTTTGCATACCACCCTTCATTATAATTGAATCTGGTGGGGACAATTCCAGAGCTAGTCTGACTTGCATGTTTTATTTTACAGAAAACCCTTTTTCCTCTATTCAGAAGATGCCTTCTATTTGAATGGCTGAGCCATTTAAAGATGAAGGAAAGAACTGTGACTTGAAATTTCCCATCAACAGCACCAGGACAGCTGACTAAGGAAGGCATGCAGTCCAACAGGTAGAGCCTTTCTCACTATGGTGTTACATACTATAATCACATTTGCATTCAAATAATAATCTGTACAAGAATACTCACATTTTATGCAGATTGGTGTCTGGTGATTCCTTTCTACTTCAATGGCACCCACCCAGAGCTACTACCCGGGAAGGCATTCATGGTCAAGCAAGAAAAGGGGGGGAAAGAAGGTGCCTTGCCCTGGACCTCATCAGCCATAGCTGAATGGCTTCCTGGGCAGTAGCACTGGGTGGGTGCCATTGAAATGCCCTGAAATACACTTGAATGATGTTGGTTTGGAAGCCCCATGGAAAATTAAAATCTCAGCAAGATCCACTCAGCCAGTGCTAGTGGGAGTATCAGGTCAGAGTGTTATTAAGGGCATCCCCAGGGCAGGTGTTGGTCATGGGTGTGCTCAGGGGCCTTGGCAGTTTATTAGTATATTTATATCCTGGGTTTTTCCTGCAAGGAACCCAAGGCAGCTTATGTCATCTGTGTCTTCTCTCCATTTTATATCATCACAACCCTGTGATGTAGGTTAGGCTGGCCCAAAGTCACCCAGTGAGTTTCATAGGGGAATGGGATCTAGAACCCAGATCTCCTCAGTCCAGCACTCTAGCCACTATAAAATAACTACCTCTCAGCTGCCCAAAGGTGCCAGGTATATATATCAGCCCTGGGTTCCAGCAGGGTGATCCGCAATCTCAAATTTGATACAACAATAAAATGAAAACAATTCTTAAAATCTAGCAGATAAAGGCAAAAAAAAAAAAAAAAAGGTTCAATTCAACAGTACTTAACATGGTTAGGTAAATTAAAAAGTTTGCCTGGTACTGAAAAATAATGCCAGTGCCAGGCAAGACTCTTTGGAGAGGGTGTTCCATAAGTATCAACTCCAGAAGGCCATTATCTGGTCACATCCACCTCACTTTTCATAGAGGAGGCATTAGAGGAAAGATATTGGCAGAGGAGTTTAAATCAGGAGCACATAAAATGTCTAGTCCCTAAACCACACTTGGTGTTACTTTTTAGGCTGTACCAAAAGAAAGGCTGAGAAGCTTATCAAGGTTCAATAATGTAATTAACTTTCCAAGTGTCCAAAAGCCAAAATAGATTCTTGAAAGCTTGACAGCAGCACCATAGATAATACCCTTGAACTTCTGTTCCATAATCATTCTTTAGACAGGACACGCCTTTGCAGTGAGAAGGAGCTGTTTTATGACCAGAGCAGTTTCATTCTGATAGACACATACAACCTAATCATAAACTGCAAAGCTCTGCAGCATTCCAACTCGTCTCATATACAATGACAGCTAACTCCTGTGTAAACGAAGGAAGCAGCCCCTCCCAAATACCGAGAGGGGCGAGGATGGGACAGCTGAAAAGAGCTGTAGCCAGGCTAGACTGGAACAAGAACATGCCACTAGAACAATGAGCAGAGCAGAGGGAGGGGGAAGAGAATGTTTAATCAGCAGTTTACAAGTTAGGAACCTGCATGACATGGGTGGGTACTGCACGTAAACCTTGCTTGGCTCGCATGTGTGTAGTCCCCCTTATTCCTGGAATCAAGCCACTCTTCACCTTCTGAAGAGCCATTCGAACTGGTTGTTCTTGGAAAGACACACCAGGCCAACTCTCTGCCTCAGGAGGCTTCCCAGAGTTGGGTCACAATTCCCAGGACACACCTGATAGAAAACTCTCCTCTCAGTGCCTTCACAAAACTACATTTCCCAAAGTTCCTTGGGTGTTAGCATGCCCGTTGAACATTTTCAAACTGATTTAAGCTTGCTAAGTAGTGTAGATGCTTGTTACTTGGGGTAACACCGCACCTGCATCAAGTGCTCGATGTCAAAGCAGACAGCACAGGTCAAGTGGTACCTCACAAACAGCTACTGTAGTCCACACCTTGCTATTTCAGTTTTAGTGAGATCTGGGCACATGCCACCTTTTGCATCGTTTCAGTGGAGGTGTGTTGGGAGAGGTTTGTTTACCTGCTGCATCCCAGTTCTAACAAGATCTCCCATGTCTGTGAGTTTTCAAATATTTTGACAATTAGAGGTAGAATTGCCAATTGATGAGGGGAAAATGCACTGCCATTGTAACATTAGCTTGGAATGGAAACCTCATCAGGTGAAGGCTGTGTTATTGATTTATGGATTATACTTCTAATCCACCCAAAGCTAAGGTTTCCAGAGAGCAGAGATCAAGAAGATCTCTTCTGCAGATCAAAATGTTGTTAATGGCCCAGATGTAGGTTGAAAGTGTAGCAACTTCCTTCCCTTTATTGGAACCCTCAAGGTGTCCACATTCTGGAATTGTTATCATTCAACCCTCACTCCTAGAGTAGTGTCAACAATGCAGGATCTTCTTAGAAACCAAGAGGCGGTGTGGTGAATTTCCCAGAAGATCCTGCTCCTCATCCTTTCCTGGCCGTACTTTTACAACAGGACTTCACAGACCACAGAGATAGGAGCTCAGTTGCTTCGAACAGTGCTCTTTGCTCCCAAACTTTTCTCCCTTTGGGGGCCATGACCTCCCAGGCCCACCCCCCAGGCCCTGCACTCCCTTCCTGTCCCTCCAGTGCACCCTCACTGCTCCTGCCTGCCTTCCCTGGGGCTGCTCTACTGGTGACCTCAGCTGATGCCCCCGGAAGCAAGCTGATCATCAAGCTGAAACGAGAGGGGCCCATGGTGGGAGGGGCTGAAGAAATGCCCCGTACACAGACTTTCTTTCTGACAGGGATGCCGCTGGGCTGGGCTGCTCAGCGCCGGGAGGGGCCGGCAGGGCCTGGTGTCCGGACAGTGTTGCTGACCAAAGCTGGCGAGGATCCAGGGGGCAGGAAACCAAGAGTACCAGAGACTGTCCCATCAGCCCGTGGGCCCCCTCCCAGTGACACCTCCTTTGCCTGTACTTCCAAGGGGGTGTATGAGAATTACCGGCGTTGGCAACGCTACAAGGCCCTGGCTAGGCGCCATTTCCCGGCCACGCCTGATGCTGAAGCTCTCGCCTGTTTTTTCATGTGAGGGTCTTGGTGGCAAGGACCATTGGTTGGGAGATGAGGGTGATCTGGAATAGAGATACAAGTTATGAGATAAGGACAATAGCCAATCCTGGATTACCTGTTTGACGCAAAATAAGGATTAAGGAGTTCCAAATCTTGCATCCCTTTTTGCAAGGCCTGAAAACTGTGATGAAAGTTGGCTACTAAGCCATATAGTCAGACAGCCTAGGATCTTGTAGTGATTTCTAATTTAAGCCCAGGGGAAATGGATAAGCTGGGAATTCAACTTTGCATCCACATGAATCTAAAGAGGCAGTTTATTCACTCAGACTCAAATGGCAAAGATTTCCCTGGACTGGACCACTTGAGACTGCAGGAACGAGTGTGAGTGTGCATGTCTAAATGTTCCTTTAATGCAGAACAAAACCACACAGACACACACACACACACACGGCACTACCTGCTAACTTGGGGATGAGCAGTTTGTGATGCTGCAGATGCTTTGGACTTTGGACCTCAGGGTTGATGGGGGTTATAGGTCAAAACAACTGTAGGGCCACAAGTTGCCCATCCCTGCACTAACCTTTCCTGCACACAGAAAAATAACATAGCAAGGTAGACATGTTTCTATGTTCAGGAACTTCTTTATTTCATTATTTAACATGCAGCCTGAAGAGGAACAGTCCAAAGGAAAAATGGTTTCACCAAGTCATTCTGTTAGCTGAATCAATCCAAAAAACAAGATGAGCTCTTCCAGACATGTGCCAGAAAAACTACATCTAAGTTTCCCAATATATTTAACAAAGCTCTTTCTCAGTCACACAGTTTGTAGAGGCAAAAAGATGAATACAAAGCATTCAAGCCAACACATAATCATTATCAACATTGATTGTCAGAAGCAGAGCAGCAGCATTAATTGTGCTATCCCTTGGTATTGTGTTTGAGCTTTCTTTTTTGGCTGCTGCTCTTCATCTTTTTGTAATTTTGTAAACTGGCCCTCTGCTAGAGAGCTTTAACCACTGGAACAATGTTGCCAGGTGAGGTCAAGGAGCTTGAGCAAGGTTGGAGAAGGCACAGCGGGAGTCCTGATGGTCGAGAATGTGTGCATGTGGCGGGGAGGGCGATGCTGACGAGCATCGTGGGATGGACTTGCATTCCCTTGAAGATGCCACTTCAGACTGTTGACATGACATCACTGTCCTGCCCCTGCAGCCCGGTCCTCCGTTCGCTGGCCCGTCTTCGTCCTGACATGACCCTGGAGGATGGGGTCCCCCGTGCTGTGCAAGAATGGGAGCACAGCAGCAACTTTGAGCGCATGATCTTCTATGAAATGGCGGAAAAGTAAGAGCTTCCCCACAGCCAGGTTTTGGTAGCACTCCAGTAGATGCCCCATGTGTGCCTGGGCAGTAGCAGGGTTGGGAGAAGGCTGCCCCTTCCTGAGCTGGCTTCGCCCTCCACATGTGTCTTTCTCAGGTTCATGGAGTTTGAAGCAGAAGAGGAACAGCAGATCCAAAAGATGAAGCTCCTGGCCAGCTGCTCCCAGTTCCAGGCCCCCAAACCCACAAAGATGCCTACATCCCCTGCCCCCGAGTCTGGGCAACAACAAGGTAGCATCTTCCTGCCATTCCTCTCAGCTTGAGCAAAAACCTTACTTGCTCACAGCAACCATTGGCCTATACAAAGAGCCACGGAGAGGACATTAGGGAGAATTGGTACCCAATATGTTCGTAGGCTTGCTGCTTTTATTCCCTGGGTTTCAAAATCCACTTTAGGGCAATGCCTTTCTTAGGCCAAGGCAAAGATCGCAACAGAGGGGGCACACTTGTGGTTTCATCACCGACTGTACACCCTGCTCAGTTCCCTCCAGGTCTGGCCTGCGTGCCACACATAGGTGTATGTATGTATGCATGTATGAGTTCAGCTGAGACTGACTCTGTGGTTCCTGTCTTCCTTCAAGTTTACATCCCCAAGAAGTCAGCCTCCAGGAGCCGCCAGCCCCGGCGTCGCCAGCGTCGCCCACCCAGTGCCTCTGTCCCAGGAGCACCACGGGAGATCCCTGCTGAGGCAGTGCACCAGTATGCTGAGATCATGGAAGGCCTGGACACTAGCTGGGAGGAAGAGGAGGAGGAGAGGAAGGAGCCAGGGGTCTGCAGAGGCCCCCAAGATCAGGACGATGTGGTATTTCCAGATCCCGCCCTGCTCCAGTATATTGATCAGTTGTGTGACAACGAAGAATTTGTCTGCAAGGTAACAAGGTCACATGGCAGGGGAAAGCCGGCTTTGCGGTGCTGGAGGGAACTGAAAGCTGATTGCAACCCCTCCCTGACTATCCTTGTACCTTGTTTAGTGAATGTTCTGGGGTAATCTTCCTCAGCCTGATGTCTTGGACTGCAGCTCCCATCATCCTCAGTCAGCATGGCCAAGGGGCAGGAATGCTGAGTTCTAGTCCAAAGCATCTGGCGGGAGCTAGGCTGAGGAAGCTGCTCTAAACTTTCCTGCCTTCAGCACCTCATCAGAAAAGTTGCCAGAGAATTTTCAGCATGCTCACAAAACTACCGTTCCCAAATCTCCTTGCTTGAAAGTGACATGAGTAGTTGAGAACAGTGTCAGTTTTGTCATTGGGGCCCAGACTTTAAACTTTATTTTTAAATCCTGCTGTCTTCCTGCATGGAAGAGGAAGAAGGCAGCCAGGGAAGAGGGGGGAAGCCCACCATAGCCTCACATCAACCCTGTGAGGTAGGTTAAGCTGACTACAACAAGCAACTTGCCCTGGATCACCCAGATTGCATGCTTCCCCAAAGGCACAGGATGCTAGACATTCCTCCTTGCTTCCTCCTCTGTCAAAAACAGCAGCTGTGCACTTAGCATCCAGTAGGATCAGAATATTCTCTGTCATCTTCTCTCCTTGCCACATGTTTGGGTCCAGTGGAGGTAGATGGAGGACTGGGGGATGCAGTAGTCTGTGGTATTATATATGGACAGCAGTACTAGAGATCAGTGAGTGGGAGCCAAACCCACAGCTGCCATTTGTGATGGCAGACATGGGGTTAGCACTGTGACCCCGAACCTCAGGTCTTTACAGTCCAAACCCAGCTCTTTTGTGTCTGCATCGCAAACTCTTGTTCCTCTTTGTGACAGTGCCAAGCATTGCTATGCTGGTTTGGATCTCTGACAAATGTCTGACTTTTTCAGCCTGCATGTCTGACTTTTTCAGCCTGCATGTCTGACTTTTTCAGCCCGAAGAAATGAACATAGATTCCTTTTAAAGGGAGTCGGGTGTGGGGAACTTTGTCCCTATTCAGCCTGGGTCAATCACTGCCAACCATGATTTTGCCTCTCCCTAACAGGTTGAAGCAGTCATCCACCCACAATTTATGGCTGACTTACTGTCTCCAGAGAAAAGCCAAGACCCCTTGAATCTGCTGGAGGAATTGGCAGAGGAGCTCAACTTAACACCCAACCAGGTATAACACAGAGAATGAAATCGGTGGTGCAGGAATTGGGGGAATCAGAAGGCTTGTTTATTCATTTATCACATTACATTTGTGGACTTATCCACATGTAACAACCCACTGGTTCAAACAGAGATGGTTGTTGTGCACAAGTGGGCAAAGCCACCTCTTCCACTTGAGAACACAACTCTTGATCATAGGTTGTGCAGTGTGATGTCCAAACTGTTTTTAGCCCCTAATCCAGCAATCCATGGGTTAACTGCTGGGTTTACATTCTAAACAGCCCAACAATCTATCTGGTTCCACACTGAAGCAGGTGAGCTGGGCACACCTCTTGTGAACAACAATTGATCAGTTTTTAAATCAATACATTTTCAGTTACATGCAAACCTGGTCCATGAGTAGCATACGTTCCTTATTTCTTGTTTTCATTTGGAAGCCACCCTTAATAAATAAATACCTTGATGAACATAGAACGACCTGTCCATTTCAGAGGAGCCCCTGGGAGTTGCATCCCAGTGGTGCACAGTGCTTGAGGACAAATTGGGCAGGGCTGGTCCCAAAAAAAAAAAAAAAACAATGTTGGACTGAAGATCTGGAAAATCTGGGTTCTAGCCCCCGCTCAGCCACGGAGCTTGCTGGGTGACTTTGGGCAAGTCCTAGCCTCTTAACCTAACTTACCTCCCAGGGTTGTTGTAGTGAGGATGAAATGGAGAAGACCTTGTATGACACCTTAGATCTTTTGCAAAAGGAAGACAGGTGGGGTATAATTGTAATGATGATGAAGATGATGATGTAGCTTGAAGCAGTCACTGCCAGTAACTAAACCTTGGGAAAGAACTTTCAAGCTTTAAGAACAGGGAAAAACTTGTGCCAAAACTGGAAAACCATCTAACGATTGGAGGTTGGGGTAGGGTCAAAGGAGAGAGGCATGGACAAATAGGAATTGCGTGTGGACTAGATTTGGCCCACAGGCCTGAGGATCTTCAGGGACACTTTAACCCCTCATCTCAATAGCACTTGCCTTACTAGCCCTGCTTGCTTGGCATTAATCACCACCCAGATCGTCACATTCTGCTGGAAGCATCAGGTGCCCTGGGGGCATCGTGCCCTGCCTGCCTTCGACTTTTGCCACTTCGCTGCATAAAGTGGCATTGGTGGTGTCCTGAAATGCGAGTTCCCATTTTTGCTGGCAGCTGCACATCATGCACTGATGTAGCTGAGCACTGCTAGCAAAGCATTCTCCATAGCTACTCTGCACTGTGGAGGTCCCCTCTCTAGGCCCACTTTCCTTTCTCTCTCCAGCTAACAGAGAAGAGACTTCTGGCCCTTTCTGAAGAAGAAAGGGAGCCCTCTGTCTGCCCCACCTCTCATTCCGACTCCACCCCCTCTCAGTCTGAAGAAGAGGATGAGGTCAGTGGCAATGGCAAAGGAGAAGACCCTTCGCATCAAGCCATAAGGAAGCCTTCCACTAACAAGAGCATTAGGAGCAGTCAGCCAGAACTGTCCAAACCAGTCATTAATTTTCCGCTGGCATTGCATTCGCACCAGCAACTAGGAGATAGAGAATTTCCACAGAAGTGTTTCAGAGATGCAACGAGTTCATGTCCTCATGAACTAGGCAGTCATGACTCTCAGGAAAGAAATCTGCCATGCTCCCTGAGGAACACAGAGGAAGGGGATAACAGGAGCTTCCAGGGACAAGCCCAGGTCCAGGGTCACATCGACCAAATTCTTCCTCATGTCCAATGGGTCAGTTTGGAAGCTGCTCCAAACAAAACAGGAAATAGTCTGACTAAGAACTTTGGGGCACAAGAGGATAGCAAGGCAGGACGAGAAATTTCAGTACCTTATACCATGAAATGTTCAAAGCAAGATGGCAGTCAAGAAGGAAAGGTCAAGGGTCAAGAGGAACTTCCTACAAGTAGAGAACAGGGCAGCCATGGTGGCATGGCACAGTTCCAGAACAGAATTCAGCTATCTTGGACCAACCTAGAATCAGACCACAAAAAATGTGGAAAGCAAGTTGGTAGCCAACAAGGAGAGAACAAATGTCCAGAGAAGTCTCAGGCTACCTGGGAAGTACAGGTAGCTGCACCAAAAGAGACCGACAATGGTAGTCAAGGCCAAAACAAAATACTATTAGGGGAGCATGCCTCAGGTGAAAGGGCTCTAAAACTTTCCTTGAATGGACATGAGGATCTAAATGTTGACATTGCAGAAGAGGTCATAGATCAATTCCAAATTCATGATAGTAGGAAATCTGAGGATACCACACATGAAACAGAACTTGACTGTCAGGGTAAGGAGCAGGGACAAAAAGGAGACAAGCAGGGTAAACAAGGTAGTCAGGAGCTCTTGCAACTTGAATGTGCAAACCAAGATGGTTGTCAAGGCAAGGAGGTCAAAGATATATATCAGGTCCAGGCTATTTTGGCATGGCCTAATTCTACACGTAATGGAACTGCAACACAATTTGGAAGCAAGCACCCATGCAGCCAAAGCTTAGAAACACAAGACAGTCTAACACTGGCCCTTCCTCGACCTGGAAATGAACTTGCTAGCCAAGAAGCAAAAGTCAAATGTCAGAAGAAGCCACAAGTCAATTGGAAGCAAGCAAAGACTGCATCTTTAAAAGATGACAGCTCAAACAAGAGTAGAAAGCTTTCTGAAGATAAGGTTGCATTGCACAAACAGCCAATGGCCACTAAGCGAGATGGCCATGAATCAACTGACCCACCTGTGATGGTAACTGATCAGGAAATCAACTTAAAGTCGCATGTTGAACTCAGCAGACAAAACGAGCAGCAGTTGACTTTAGCTCATTCTAGTGGGGTAGAGGTGCTTGAAGAGCGACCACAAGACTCTGGTCCTGAAAAGCCACCGTGTTTCACTTTTTCTGAAGAGGAGTCTTCATCTTCTCATTTCCAGAAGGGCTCTGAGAGCTCCCAGAAGTCTCGGCAGGTACTCATGGACCATTGCAAGAACACTCCTTTGTTTGAAAACCTACCAGATGACAAACAGGACCTCAAGTCCACTCTAAATCCTTCGGGCTGCAGCATCATGATTGAGACTGATGGAGCCAGCTGCAGTCCCAGTGATCACACTCGTGTTCCTACCACTCCTAGCAAAGAAGTAGCAAGCATTCCACAACTCAGCCTTCAAAAAAACAGCACCAACCATGAAAATGATGAATCCAGCCAGAGACTGGAGTCTAGTGATCTGCCATCTTCCAAAGTCTACCAGGGGCCAGTGCGTTCAAAGTCAGACATGCAAAACCTGAGTAAGGTGAGAGGAGATCTGCTCGAGAGCATCCCTGCAGCCAGTAATAAAAAGCTTCCAGAACTCCCTGCAAGAAGTATGGAAGGCATTCTTAAAGAAGAGGAGGAAGAGGAGGAGGAGGAAGAGGATGAAGAGTTATCCAGTTTCTCCTCCTTGCTTGCCTCCAAACTCAGCCTCTCACCCCATGGTTGTCATCTACCTCTCACAACAGGTGGAGAGGACACAAAGCGTTCTCCTCCCACAGATTCTGGGAAGCAAAGTTCTAAGATGAGGCATTCCATCCAGGGGCAGATGCCCCAGAATTCTCCTCCTCTACCAGACAACACCCAGGAATCCAACCTGGCAGCCCACCGTAGCCACAAGAGAAAAAGCAGTAACTCAGGTCCTCGGAGGAGCAAGCGCCTTCGCAACCAATAACTGAGCTTCTTTTCAGCAGGAGGCTGACGCTAGCAAACGCTGCCAAACGTCAGCAAAATTTGTCCTTGCTGCTCCCAGTACTGTCATATTCACCACCCTGAGACTTCATAGCCCCACTCTAACTGCACAAATACTTCAGCTGACAACTGTGCTAGAATGCATGGATTGGTTTGCACTCTGTCTAGATGCACTTCTCATGGAACAGCAGAGAGCCATTTCTTCCCAGTTTGTAACAAATTAAAGATGTTTTGAATCACACTTGGTTGGCCCTGCAGATTTGACTCTGAAAACTCCACCGTCTTGCCTTATTGCGGAAACACCCATCACCCTAATTCCTTCTGTTTCCAAACTCAGCTGGCCCCGTGCCTATTCTAGAATGGAGAACACATTAAAAAAAAAGATGGTGATTTTTGCATCCTTGGGAGGACTCCCTAGTTATGCAAAAGTGTCCAAGTTAGTAAAGTGACAGATAATTTTTTTAAAAACAAAACCAACCCCCCTCTCCTCAAAGCACTATTCCACCCCAAAGAGACCTCCAAGACTATGAAATGTAGGTGTCAACCTGGGGAACAAGCAAAAAAGAGGGTAGCGGTAGAAGAACGTGTCTGCTTAACAGCACGGGGAGGCATGCCAAGTCTCCTGTGTTTATCACTTGAATTTCAAAATCTACCGATTGGAATCCAGTGCAAAAGGCACAGCACTCCATGCACAATCCTATGCATGTTTAGACAGGAAATAGCCCTAGAACTCCCAGCACCCCTCCCCCCAAGCTGGCATGGCTGGCTGGGGCATACTGGGAATAGGAGGACTTCTGTCAAAACATGCATAGGATTCGGCTATTACAGAAGCACAGTAATTTTGTTGCTGCTATTACTAACCAAGTAGGAGCTAGAAATCTGTGCTGATATACTGCCCAGAGATCTGCTGGTATATCCACACCCATGTTCTCTCCAGCCCCTATTTATAGTATCCTCAAAGCGGGTGCTTAGGCTTTTGGGGAGTGGATGCCTGAATTCTGTGGGAAGGTTTCAAGAGGAAGGAAAGGAAGCACAATCTTGCTCTCCTTCCATTCCTCTAGTTTCCCCAACCTCCAGATCTGTAACGATAAGGTACTCTGGGTCAACCAACCTCAGATTTGAGTTCCTCAGCATTACTGAACATTAACATAGAAACAGAGCGAGTCAGAAGGGGCCTCCCGGGCCATCTAGTCTGACCCCGGCTCCAGCCAGCTCCACTCATGACATGCCCACATTCACAGAGAGTTTCAGGAAGGTGGGAAGTGGGAGCATCAGTTCTCCATTAAGCACCTTTAATCCCACACACAGAGAGACACAACCCCAGGAATCACCAGTGTTTTAAAACATGATACACACATCTTTTTATTATAGAGATATAGATATTTATTTTATATATAAAATAGCACTTCTGTATATCTTACAAAACAAAAAATGAAAAAGCAACAGTATCTCGTCCTTCCATTTTTCCTTCCCCTCAACAAAATAATAATAACCCCAAATCAACAACTTAAATGATACAATCAAAACATAACAAAAATAAACTTTAAAATAAACGGAGAGAAGCCCCAATCCCCAAAGAATTTGTGGCTGTGATCCCCCGGTTACCATTGCCCTGAGATGGGGGTGTCTCCGCCCCCCTCTGCCTAACCACCGTGGAGGCCGGGGCGAGCAAGCGAGCAGGAGGGGCAGGGTCTCGCGTGGCCAAGGGAGTGGCATGGCTGTGTGTGTCTCGGTCTGTGGCTGTGTCGTTGTGTGCACATGGCTGAAGAGCTCTGGGGTGTTCAGTCTGCCTTGCTCTTGGGAAGGGCAGCAGGGGCACCATTAGCATAGGTGGGCGGGAGGCCAGGCTTGGAGAGCGAGCAGGCCGCAGGTGGGCACAGGTACGTGCTAAACAGGCGAGCATAGTCAGGGTGGCGGAGAGAAAAATCCTGGAACTCATCTGGAGAGGGGAGGGGAGGGGGGGAGAGGAGAGGAGAGGAGCATCAGTATAAACACAGTCCAAATTAATGTCCCAGATGTTAGAATTCACATCAGCACAGAGACTGCCTATATCAACACTAGGCAGCCCAAAACCCTCCAGATGGCTTGAACTCTGATTCCCATCAGCAGCAGGGATGATGGGAGCTATAGCCCACTACATCTGGCAGGCACCTGGAGGCTACCCCCGGCCTACATTAATATCTTCTCCTCCTGCCTCTGTATGACAGCTATGCTTTGCAGAGGGCCTACTCCCTCCTCCGAATTTTCTATAGTGCCTCCTCTTCATTCCCCCAAGCTGATCAAAAACACCTCCTGCCCGCACACACCTCATACCCCTTCTCTTTCCCATCACTTGCTGGATATATTTTGGGCAAATTGGCAGCATAGAAATAGAAATAATAAATAAATATCTTTTGCTGGCCCGCACACAGAAATGGGACAAAGGAAAAGACATCTCCCGCCTCAGCTCCTGATGTTACAATCCGTTCTTTACTGTACCCGTAATCAAACAAAGGCACCCACATGGGCCATAAGCAGAGGTACACCCACAACAGCCCTGATCCTCCCCTTTCCTTCTATTCCCCATTTGTCAGGGCTCTCACCAAGGGTCAGTCCATTCTGGCTGTGGTCCCCGCAGAGCCGGCCGTAGAGTTCAGCCCCATCAGCACTTGGTGTCCCCAGCAAGAGGCGCAAAATAGCGCACAAGCCATCCTGGCGCAGACGCAGGTCCCCTGTCTCATCCACCTCTGAGAAGAGCTGGTAGCATAGTGGTTGTGTATATACAAAAGAAACACACATATACATTGCAAATACAATCGTTGACTGTGACTGGCTTGTCCAGGGTGTAGAACTGCATTCAGCCTCAGGGCCGTGCTCCATTTTAGGAAAGCTCTTGGAGGCTGCATCCCAGCAGGGAACCTGGGACCAAAATACCCCCCTAATTTCACTTCAACTCCTTCAACCAGTCAGTAACTCTTATGAGAAGCATTTCAAATTTTCAGAATGGGGTGCAGGGAAGGATAGCCCTGCAAGTGTGGGAAAACAGCAAAGCAATCGGTGACTGGGGGGAAAGGGGTAATTTGTTCCACAAGCCTGGGGTCCTTCACACTGGCTATAGCTGACCTAGACAGACAACCACATTCTCATCTTCCATAGTTCAGGTTCCCCATCCCTTCTGTGTTCAAAGCCCCTTCATACTTTCCAACTTCTTATTGGCAGAGGTGTTTTATGTTCACCATTTCCTGGATTAAAAATGGCTCGCCACAAACCTGCTCCTTTATTTGCATTCAAGCTGCTGATTGGAAGCTGGAAAACCCTGAAAGGGAGTCAAGGTCTTATGGGAAAGACTGGGGGCTCCTGGTGTGTATCACTCTTTCAATGGGCACACCAGATTTTATATTTGTCTAAGAATATTTCCTCCCCCAACCATCTAAATCACACATACAAATTCCTTGTAACTTCACATCAAATGCTACTCCATCCCTCTTAGTGCAGACCTGGGTCTTCATCACAGTTTTCCAAAACCAACACGGGATGGTGCAATTTAGAAAGAGGAACGCAGTGGCCAGAAGGTCGTGCTTAACCATTCCCTAGCCCTTGCATCTCCCTTGTGCTCCCTTCCCTTTCCAGCTGCTTTTCACCAACAAAGATTCCTAGGAACACAACAAAGTGTTTCAATATCTGACCCCACCCCCTTCCAAATCACATGCTTCCCCTTGTCATATAGATGCTCCAGATCCAGGTAGGTTTCCAGATCCAAGTCACTGCTGAATATCTAGATGGACTCCCTGCAAGCCCATTCTCTTTGTCCATCACACCAGTTTGGGCTGGGAATCTGTTCAGTTTCCTCTGCTTGGGTCTCCAGACTCCAGCTTGCTTTCCCTAAATCTGCCTCACACTGCGCATTTGTATGGGCACCTGGCAGGAAATAAGTTCAACTGGAGTTCTGCTTCTGCATCCTTGACCTGTATGCTTTACATACATTGTGCAAAGAATTATGCAGTTTGCATACTTTACACAAAGAAGCTGCTTGTGTTTCTGAGCATTCGTGGACTGTATCTCAGTTCGGCTTGCTTCCTGGCCAGGGTTAGGCTGAGCGTAGGAAAGAAGACTGGTGAGCACGAGAAACTCGGATTCTGGCCTGCTCTTTGCACCCCTAATCCCACCCAACCTCTGCAGGTACCTCAAAGGCCCGACGCGTGAGTTCCTGTGGGTTGTGCTCAGCCTCCAGGGCCTCCAATGCCAGGGCCACTTCCCGGGAGTCCATGTTGCCTTCAGAATCCTGGGAATGGACACAACAAAGAAAAGGGTGTTGCTTCCACTGGAGTCGCACCTGACACTTAACTGGATGTTCTTCCGGTTCACCTTTTACTTCACAAGTCATAATTTGGGCTGGGGTGAAACAACCCTTTATACCAATGGTTTTCAACCACCGGTTTATGGACCAGTGCCAGTCCGCGGCAGGTTTCCTGCCAGTCTGTTGGAGAGCCACATCCCGCTCGCTGCAGGGGTTGGCTCTGCTCCACCACCTCATCCTCGGTTGGCATTGCATTCATGGGGGTGCACCAGTGCTGCCAGGGGCAGGGAGGGGAGAGATGGCTTGGGAGTCAGCTGGGAACCACACTGTGTCAATATCAGTATTTTGTTCTTTTGTTTGCATTTTTTTGTTGCTCGGTTTCTGGTTGTTTTGAAGAATTTTCTTTCTTTCTTTTTTTGGTATTGTGTTTGACAACTCAAACACAGAATACTGCATTATGTGTATGGTGTTTTTTGTTCTGACTCAGACGTCCCTGAGGTGGTTTTCCTGTTTTCACCAGTCCCCAGCTGTGGAAAGGTTGAAAACCACTGCTTTATATTGCCTTTTTTGCAGCTCTGCAGTACCATGGTTTCCCTCACCTACCCCTTATCATCTTTTCTCTCTCATTCTTCCTTATATGATCCCAGCTATTCAATGCTCACATACTGGGTGTGACTACAAAGCTTATCAGAGTTGGTTGTGAGCAAACCATAGTAAGAGCAAATGAAGCCTACGAGATCCATGACATCATATCCTGTGCTAGTCACATGGGCAATCTTGGTCAGTCAATGAGTTCCTTAACTATCAAATATTTTCACAATGCTTTCTTAGCACCACCTCCCCAGAACATTTACCCCACCCAAATCTGGGCCATACTTTTTTAACAGCCACATGGGCAATTCTAGCCCACTGGGACACATTCTTAGCACCCAAACACTTTTGCACCATTATGGACGTCCTGCCTCCAAGAGTCTTCCAGAGCATGTTAACAATTAAAACTTTTATGAAATGCTTTTGCAGCAGCCCCTGGATGTTTGTAGACATTTTAAAAAATCCTCTTGTTCCAACATGCCCCTATTCATTCTTTGAATTTAACAAGCTGCCCTCCTCCAGTTCACCTGCTGGAAATAGACACGGAGTCCTTCAACAACCTCTGGACTGTCCACCCCCAGCCAGTCAGCCAGCTCTGTTGGCCGCAGCTTCCCAGAAGTCCCAACCAGATCTGAATCCAGCCGGCACTTGGACCTGCCTGGTAGGCACCTGCAAGAAGAGGTAATTGCCTAATTGAAAAGGAGCAAGATGTTTTCAGTTTGATTCAGTCTTGTCTGCTGGGATTTGATCAAAGCAATGTGGCCGGCCCTGTGAGAAATGTGCTGTGTTCACAACACAACAAAGCAAGCAACCCTCCATGGCTACCATGGTTTGTAGGGTTTCTTTTTTACCATGATCTACATGAAAGACAACCAAGTGATTTCTACTTTATCATGATTTCCATCCTCCCACTTTTGGCATGTATCCCATCAGCCACTGTGCCTGAAATTCCGTCCCAAGTTGCATGGCTTCCTGCCTATATCACGAGGCTCTTCCTCCTTGGTCCCCACACAGAGTAGCTGGAGCAGCTTCTGCTGTTGCCACTCTTCCCAGGGGACTTTGTAGTAGTTGGATACCAGGACTGTGGAAACCACAATCCTGGGTTCAGACAATATGACAAGCCGTGTTCTTACAGAGGAAACCATAGAACAAACCATTGTTTCTTATCATAGTTTCTAAAAACCAGACTTACCATGATGAACTGTCACAACTAGGTTCAAGCGCAAAGAGACCAAAAATGGTGAAAAGAAACCCATGATTTGTCATGTCTGAATCCAGCCATGGAGTACCAAACCAGAGGGAAACTCTGTTTTGATCCAGTAACGTTCTTTCGGTGCCTTTATGGCAGGGGTGTGATCCAGCCCTACCTGGAGTCCCCTTCTGCCTTCTGGAACTTCCCAGAGGAGCCTGGTTATCACCCCTTCCACTGGCCCTGCCCTCTTTCCTCTAAGCATTGATCACTGGGTGGTCTTCGAGCATTTATCCATTTTTGTCCACTGGAATGCAGCCCCAAGAGCTTCTCCAACATGGCATTTAGCTCTCAGGCAGTGCCCCTGTCCAGTGATCTCTTACCTGGTTTTCCGAAGCACTTTGCCCAACTCCCAGATGCGCGGCTCTAGGGCCACCCGCAGGCGCCCCACCACGGTGACTGGAAGGTTGCCCACAAACTCACATTCTGTTGCAGGAATCCCCAAAGCCCTGGTTGAAGGAGGGCAGCAGCATAGAGGGGAAAGAAGATGACAGGGAGACAACGGCAAAGCAAAAGTCAACAAACCAGAGTCAACAAACCAAACGGCCCAACCCTCTTGTCGGATTATTATCCCCTCAGGGACCCAACTAGCAGCCTGGATATGTGAATGAGATGCAATCTGTCAGGCCAGCATGGACAGTGTGTATCAGGCTTGAGCACGTTCTGCAGGTAGAGAAGGGAAATGAGGCATGCAATAGTCAGCCTTGTGACGGGGAGACAGCTGGGTTCAGACAAGGCAAGCCACACTCAGGGTCGAGTATGGGTTGAGTGTTGGCTATCGTTCAACTATGGGTTGATGTTGAAACATGCCTGAACTGAGCCATGATAACAAACCATGTTTTATTAACCACAAATAAATCCTGCAGTTGGTGCTGTATTCCAGGGGAACCCTGGTCGTTGCATGCCAGTATGGTGGAAACCACGATCCTGTGTTTGGACCATATAACATACCAACAATGGTAAAAAACCACAACGGCTTGTCAGGTTGTCTGCTTACAAGCCAACATGGGTTCTCTTCCTGGGCTGTTCATTCTTAACAAACCATGGCTTGTCAGCACAGCTGGGAGCAGACCACATGAGAACCCATGCTCAACAACCCACTCAACCCATGCTCAAGCCTTGAATGTGAGTTACCATGCTGTCTGAACCCAGTTAGACTGAAGTTTCTCTTTTGGGCCCGGCTGGCATAAATACTAAGAGCTGCCTGGTCATTTCCTTTGGTAGTCTGCAAGTCTGTGTCACGTTGCTTCTGCTCCACCTTCTCAAAGCCTCCACATTAACCTGTAGTCCTGCAGCAGCTCTGGCACCTTTTAACCAGAGATGATCCTCCTCTTTCTCAGCCTCACTGCCTCCACCCACTCAACCTTTCCCTCCGCACTGAATCTGCACCCCAGAGGAAGAAAAAAAGCAAACAGTAGCAACAAAGAGGAAAAAAGCAATGCTGGTACCACTTGCTGGAAGGTGGGCATCAAGGGATGCCCAGCAATGCTGCCCACAACCACCAGCTTGGCTTGATGGGATCGGTCTGAAGGCCTGGCTCTTTTGAATCAGGCTGCCCCATACAATACATCCTACACATCTTCCATCATATAGGCCTCAGCCCACCTTCAACTCCCTTTTTTCCCCACCAAAACCTCTCACCATTTTACACTTACTTGGCCATTACTTTCTGGACATTGTTAGCATATAGTGTGGGATTCTCCGCCTCTTCAGGACTGGGCTGATAAACTGGGAGGAACTGGAAAGGGCAAGAAGCATAACAAATTGGATCAAAGAGAAGTAGTTTGTTGTAAGGTTGGGCCTTCACCCATCCAGGTAAGCTTTAGATATTGTGGACTACAACTCCCAGGATTCCAACACTTGGCCATGCTGGCCGAGGCTGATGGGAGTCAGAGCCTACAATATTTGGGGGAGGCCAGGCTGGGGGAGACTGAGTTATAGGACACAGGTAGCAAGGAGGGAGGCTCAGAAGTTACTGCAGATCCTCCCACACTCAGAAAGTGGAGCAGGAGGCTAGCAGAAAACTGAATCCTGCAAAGTTTGAATGGCTTGGTACTTGCATGGAAAAGCATGGCAGAAGAAGATCTGTGGTACAAAACGCCTCATCCCCCACCCCCAGTAGAAGTTGTTGCTGTTGTCTTTACCTCCACTTCCACAGTAGTACAGGGTTGAGATGCGGTTAACCAGATGACTTTTAACCTGAAAAGGATAAGCAGAAGGAGATGTTCCGGCTACACACCCAATGAGCGCAACAACCCCAAATGAATGTGTGCAACACCATGCTGCTAATTCATCCACCCCACTGTCAAGAACTCACACTCCAGGTCCTCGCCATGCCCAGGTTGTTGAATCCTGCAAAGGAAAGAGACCCTCAGTGACGTTTAGGGGGTTGCATGACCCCCAAAGCAGGTGCAAAGCTGTGTGTGTGTCCATGGGCAGAAGAGAAGCTGAGTTTTCAGTCGCCTTCCCATCCCTGCTCTTAAGAACCTCGGAACCTGCCTTGCGTGAAGCTAGTCCACTGATCCACCTAGTCCTAGTGCTGCCTACACTGGGGCCATCAAATTTCCTCTAGCCCAAGGACCAAATTGAATTTTTAGGGAAGCACGCAGGGACATGGTCAAAAGGGAACAGGAAGAGCACACAAAACACACTGCCATCTTTTAGCTTGAACTTCTTTCTGCTAATAACAAAACCCTAGGAAAGGCTTATCTTTTAGAATGAAGGAAAAAGCTGCACCAAAGCCAGGAATCCGCCCAGCAGCTGGGGGAAGAAGCTGGGAGGAGGGACTGCTGCCCTCTGGGGAATCCCAGGCTGGCTGGATTGGACTCCTGCTGGGTCCACTCAAGCCTACACTCATTGTCAGTGGCTCTCTGGTGTTTCAGATGGGGGGTCTTTCCCACACCCACCTGGGGATGCTGAGGACTGAGCCTGGAACCTATTACATGAAAGGCATATGCTCCACCTGCTGGGCTGTGGCCCTCTCATAACATTCATAACATAACTCACCAGAGAATTAGGGTATCGAATGAGGACTGGCTGGACAGGGACGCCAGATATGAAGGCACCTGTAGACACAGAAAACACACCCCTGAGATGCATTGCTGACGGTGAATCCAGGCTGTGTTCAGATCCAATGTAGTTCTAGGGGTGAGCCCATTGTGGCAGGAGACTCTCAGTGTTTTGGCCTGTTCTTCCAGTGATGGGCAGGAATTGGATTTGTGCAACGCTAATTGGCTGGACCATTTGGTCAACTGCAAAGGGATGTACCCACTTCTCAGAGCATGCTGCATACAACACTGATTGGCTGGCCTCTTCTGTCAATCATAAAGGGTGGCACCACCACCACCACCCTCCTTTTCATGATGGACTGAGCTCATTGCCTAGCCATTATGTCAATGGCTGGTATGTATACCTTGCTCATGCTCTGTGTGTTGCTACTTTAAGTGCTTCAGAAAGCTATTATGTCAATGGCTTATGCGACTGATATAATGGCTTTCTGAAGTGTTTAAATAGCAACACGTACACTATAAAAAGATAAATGTGAGTCACTTGAAGAATTTTTTCGAGAGGAGGAGGAAAAGGCGGGTAACCTATTTAAAGAGGAAGAGAAAAGCCAGTAGGGGAATATTGACATTACAGAAATAAAAGTGGTGGAGAAGTGATGTAGGGAAAAAGCAGATCTTGCCTCTCAGCTCAAAGGTCCTCCCACCTAGTTCTGTTTACAGGTAAATCTTCACCTCCACCCACCCCCTCTGACCAGACTTGTTCTTTTTTACCTGGTTTAAACTTGAGTAAGGCTTTTTTATTTGAGCAGGTTCCCTCTGGGAAAAAAAGGACCTGGCAAGGACAGAAGGGGAAACAAAGAGGATAAGGAAGCGCTCAGGAGCTCCACAATATTAACCCAAGGTGACTCAATTGTTTGGGGAGTCCCCAGACCTTACCTGTGGCCATTTTCCCTGGGAAGTGGCCCGTTTCTTCACTTCCTCCACCACCTTCTTGCGAGAGGCCGGGTCATGGCGGGAGACCAGGATAGCCTGGTTGAACCTCAGCAGGGCTGAAGGAGAGATGGGCAAATCTCAGGGATGGGAAAGGGAAGCAAGGAGGATCACACGAGCGTTTCTGAGTCATCACTGGCCAGCCCCTCCACAGCATGGCTGGCCTTGGAAACCTTTCCTAAATCTGCTCTGTTGTGCATGTCTGAACCCTGGCAACTGGCAGGAGCACTTCCGAGGAACTTAAGGAGAGCCTCCAGCCAGAAGCTCATCACATTCACAGTCCTACTTCCCAGCAAAGGACAACCAGAGGTCCCAAGCCTATGGTCATCTTCTCTTGCAGCTTCCCTGCTTTTTTGAAGACCAGGAAGACAGTTTGGTTTCCCAGACCTTTCCCTCCCAAGCACCTGTTTTGCTGAAATTAAAGTCTGGGCACAAACTTTAATAAAGTACCCTGCTACAAAAAGCCCCCTGGAATTCTGAAAATCGGGAATTAAATCAATGGGCACCCAAAGCTGCCTTTGGATGAAACAGCACACTACATTATTTGCCCTCCTCTCAAGCTCGCTCTCATTTTTACTCCAGAGTAAATGTGCACAGTCCAATTTGGATCAGACCCACCATGTCCTGGGAGGGGAGGATTAAACCTTTTGCCACCCAATTCCCACTTGTGTCCTGACATTCTGCCCCCCACCCTGCTGCCACAATGCAGGGGGCTCAAAGGGTCTCCACTGGCCTCTCTTTTTACAACACCATACAGATGATGGCAAGAGTGCATGAAGAATTTGGGTGGAGCGGGGAAGCATCCTCCTCCCCACCCAAGTGCAGCGGTCCCAATCCTCCTATAACTCTAGCAATGCTGGGTTTTCGTAACAAAAAAGGGTGAGATTCTTGCCACAAGCAGAGAGCAGGAGCAATGGCTGCTCAGCTCTCCAGGTGTTCTATTGACTGAGAACAGGCTGCATAAGACAGTCCTCTATTTCAGTGGTTTTCAGCCACTGGTCCATGGACTGGTGCCAGTCTGCGGGAGGTTTCCTCCCAGTCCATTGAGGGCCACATTCCGCTCACCGCGGACCAGCATGGGGGCTGGCTGTGCTCCATCACCTTTTCCTCGCTCAGCATCGTATTCACACAGGGTGCACCAGTGCCGCCAGTGGGGGCCAGAGCGGGGAGAGACGGCTCAGTGGGAACCAGCTGGGAGCCACTCCACACTGATTGCAGTATTTTGTTCTTTTGCTGGCATTTTTTGTTGCTCAGTTTCTGGTTGTTTTGAAGAATTTCATTTTTTATTTTTTTTGCGGGGCGGGGTAGTTGTGTTTGGAAACTAATACACAGACTATTGTATGATGTGTATAGTGCTTTTTGTTTCTGCCTCAGCAGTCCCTGAGGCCACTCTCCTGTTTTCGCTGATCCCCAGCTGTGGAATGGTTGAAAACCACTGCTATATTTGATGAACTGCTTAGTGCAAGTTTGTCTTCAAGTCAAACAAACTGTGAGGGAGAGAAGAGAAGGGCCTCAAAGTTGCCCATTGGGAGGCAGCACTGTATGTGTACCCAGATCAGTCACCCCCACCATGGGGAGATGCCTAGCGCTTCTGTTTAAGGAACGGTGAAGATGTCTGAATTTGCACTTTCACACATAGCTTTGATGCACAAGCACAACGCCACTTGGAGTCTTCTTTGCCCTCCTGTTCGGGGCAACCCTCTGAAAGGTTCACAACACGATCCCGTCCCAGCTCACATCCACCTTCCCCTCTGTCCATGGCTGGGCCAGGTCCACTCACCCCCAATGACCGGCACATGGAGGTTCTCGGTGCGAGAGACCACCTTGGGCAGGTCGCAGGGCAGCAGGATGATCGGGTCGAAGAAGGTTGAGTGAGGCGCTGCCACCAGGATGGGCGCTTCAAGCCGCGATGCCCGCTGTCCCCGCACCCGTATCCGCATGAAACCAAGCAGGAAGAACATCAGGCGGCTGAGCACGTACACTGAGCTGTGGGAAACTGTGCTGAAGATGGGGGGGCATGGAGAAGGGTGAGGGGACAAAGCAGAAGGGGTGTCAGGAGGACCAGAGGTGCCGTTCCGAAAGGGCAAGGGGGACCCGCGGGGAAGTAGCCAATACTTACTTCCTCCACCCAGAGAACGGCTCCTGCAGCGTCTCTTCCTGCAGGCCCACTACCTGGAGCAGCGCAAAGGGCCAGATGAGGAACAGGACCACAAAGGCCAGGGCGACACGGATCGGGGCCAAGACCACCCCCAGCACGTAGAACTGCAAGCACAAACCCAGTGGGAGGGGCGTCATGGTTTGCTTTTCAGGACAATCGAGGAGATGACATGCGAATGTTGTGGAGATGCCAGGTCATCGGAGCTGAGCCTCGTGTCCCAAGGAGATGCCACACCAGTGTCCTAAGTGGGGAGTCAAGGGGCCGGCTCTGCTTATTAAAAGGGGCCAATGGGTGACGCGGTGACTGATAGTATCGGCCGGGCCTGTTGCAAAGTTCTGGCGTCAATGTTCATGTGCATGATTTGAAAAAGAGTAGATGCCGGGGTGGGGGCGGGGGTAGAAGGCCAAGGGGTAGGCTTAGAGTGCTCTCCCTGGCTGGGAGACGGACACCCCCACCCCAGGGAATGGTGTGGCATAGCCCATCCTCCTGCAGCAAGCCATGGCAGGGCCTGTGTCTAGGGGCGCTGGTGGTGTAGATCCACTCAGACATGGGAGGCGAAAGGGGTCCAACTAACAGCTGCATTTGCTTGCTTAAAAGCTTTGCAATGTTGTGCTAAATTTCCGGAGGGTGAAGGAAGGAAAGAGGCTGGAGCACTACTTGGATATATCATCTCTTGGCAGCCCATGCTGGTTGTTTCCCCTCCCACTCAGTCCATAACACTGGATGCTGGGTAACTGTTATTTTTATTTCTTTTTTATTTCTGTTTTTATTTCTGTTTTTAGAATTAATTTGTAAACCATCCTGAGACATCTAAGTATGGGCTATTTAGAAAAGTTTTAAATAAATAATAAAAAATAGATGCTATTCCAGTCCAGGCGGAGCCGGACCCATTTGCTCATTTAAAATCAGCTGTCACCTATATTTTATGGTTATCTTATTTGTCAGCTTCCCCCCATTCCAAAATCGAAGAAAGGATGGATCACCAAAATACTGAAGAAATATAAACATGCACCCAACTTTTCTTAAAACAGTGCAGTTCTTTGGTCCTGCAACCAATTCCAGGAGAATATTTCGGCAGGATAAGCAACTTAGAATTTTTACATGCTACCCAGGAAGTGGGGTCTCCCTTTGCTCCAGAGTCCCTGCATAGATTATCTCAGCCGTATATACATCTGGCTGGGTATGCAGGGGTTAATGGTGGAGGTTGGCCCTGAGCTGTTTTTTGCAGCACCTGCAAGGTGTTATTTGTTGTAGCTCCCTTGTGGATTCCCTGAGACTTGAGGGAATCATACTAATTCCTTCCAGCTCTGGTTCCTCCAGCACCATCCTATCAGCATCACGGAAAATGGCCGTGACATTCAAGGCTTGGGCCAGGTGGGGTTCTGTGGTTAACCTGGTACCAAGCTGGGGTTACCGACCGATATGAGTCACATGCCTGGCTACATCATTTCCCAGCATCCAACTCCCTCCCCAGACCCAGGCCGGTTCTTATACTGGGTCTCTGCTTTTGCTGCAGGACTGGAAACAGAGCCCCCCCTGCCCCCACCCTGCTGCAAGTTCTTGGATCATCCTTTCCAAGGCACTTTACACTCATAGACTGGGGAAGAGGCAAGGGAAGATGGCGATTCTCCACACCTAACACAAGCCAGCAGCCAGAGGAATGGGCAGGTGGGGAACCCAAGGTGATACGTACCAACAGACAACTACCAGGCTGCAGTCAGCACCCAGGGGTGCTACACTCGCCCAGCTCAGGCCAGGGCCTCCCAGTAACAAAGTCATAATGGTTTTCCCTTGCAGGCCTTCTGCATTCAGAGTGTCAGATGAAATGACGTCTAATAATATCTCACATTCTGACATCCAGCCTAGCTGGACAGTTGGTCCCAAGTTAGACAAATCACATGTGCTGCTCGGGGAACCACCAGCCCCGATTTACCCGGATTACAGCCCAGGCGGCAGGCCAGCATCTGCCAGGACACATCCTAGATTATCGCTGGCCTGGTTGTCAGCAGTCCTTGCTGCAATCCATCAGAATCTGGTGATGGATTTCAATTCTTCCTCCGCTTGGCCAGGTGTCAGTGTTTGCTGACAAGAAGGACAATCCCAGGATGCAGGTGTGTCTCAACCTCACAGATGGGGTTTCACCCACCCTGAAAAACCAGCAAATTCAAATTCTGCTGGATTCTGACACATCAATCCTAACCTTGTTTGTCTTGCCTCATTCATTATCTGCTCTTTTATTCGCCATCTTTGCAGCCATACACTTTGACCCCTACATGGCATGCTGATCTCATCCTAATTTCATAAGTCATTTTCATGCAGGCGGTTCATACCCCTGGCAGCCCACTAGGCAGGGAAAAGCGGGGGGTGGGGGGAGGGAGAGAGAGAGAGAGAATGGGGTGCCAGAAAGAGAGAGAAGGGACAGAAAGAGAGCCAGATTCTGTCCACCACCTGCCCGGAGCTCCACTAGATTCTAACTCCAGGGAATGTAGCCCTGAACAGGAAGAGAGAAAAAACATTGCCAGCCCCACCTCTGCCTTAAGGCAAATAAGATAATAGCATGTTTTTTTGCATTGCACTTAAGAAGATGTATCATTATGTTAGGTAACTTGTGGACAAACCTCATTCTTCCTGCCCAGCATGGGCAGAATTCTGGGCCACTCTGTGGACAGGAAGAACGCAGCTCCCTTGTCCAGACACGTTCGTTCGTTCATTCATTCATTCATTCATTCATTCGGAACACTTATATGCCGCCTCATTCGCAAAAGCCTCAGGGCGGCTTCCAATGCAAATAAATAACAATATGAATATATAAAAATACAAAAAGTCTGGAGACATCTCGGCAAAAATATAAAACCAATAAATAAATTCAACAATTAAAATGACGTTTAAATAAAAAGGTCTTGGCCTGGCGCCGAAAAGCAAATAACAACGGCGCCAGGTAGACCTCTCTGGGAAGCGCATTCCACACATGAGCATCTCGGATCCGGGTGCGGCACCCCAGTGCGGAGGCACCCAGAGAGCACGTGTGTGCCCATGGACACTTTTGTCACTGAGAGCGGACTGCTACCTTTGTCCGCAGGAGAGGCTATTTCTTCCTAAAAAGCCTGGATTAGAATATATGCAGTTGATGCTAGTGTGCATGTAGCAGTGTGGTGTAGTGGTTAGGCATGCAGGACTGAGGCTCAGGGGTTCTGGGTTCTAGTCCCAGCTCAGCCATGGAGCTCACTAGGTGACTTTGGGCCAGTCACAGACTCTCAGCCCAACCTACCTCACAGGGTGGTTGTTGTGAAAGTAAAGTGGAGAGGAGGAGGGAAATTATGTAAGTTCCTTGAAAAAAAAAAAGGCATGATAAATGTAATAAATAAAAGTGAGAAGCTTCATGTAGTTAGCAACAGCATGAGCAACACAGTGTGAAATACTGAAATTTACGTGTAAGGCTGCAGTCCAAATGGGACTTTTCTCCCTTCCTGCTCTCCATTGGAGTACCCGCCAGATCAAACATGCCTGTGTGTGCACCAAAGGAAGCTTTCCTCTGGAAGCAAACAACCAGCCCTGCCCCTATCTGGACTGGGACCATAGCAAGAGGGTCAAAGGGTTAAACCCCCTCCCACAGCCCTCTCCATGGTCCTAATCCTCACTGGGGACGGACCCTGCACTTGGTTCTGACTCTAAGACCAACAGCATGATGACCTTGTGATCTTTTGCTCTCTTCAGCATTAATCTGCACATCTCAAAAGAACTTCAAAAATAAAGAGGCAGGGGAAACACTTATGGCTCGACAATTAAAATTTGCCCTAGCCATTCATCAGGCTCAGTGCAAACCTGTTTCTTTTTCTAAAGCATTCTCATTTCTTCTAAGCATCCATTTGTTCCATCCTGTTTCCACATCAATTTGTGCTTTTTAAAAGCCCCCACATGGCAATCCGTAGGATTTTTCACACCATTTGCCCCATCCCTGCATTCCTGTGAGCCTTTTCCCCTAACATACTTCTCTTTCAGTGCTTCACCTGCATCCACTAGCGTGCAATTTGAACACACATTTTCCCAACCAGGAAACCATATTGCAGATTTCAGAAAAACCCACAAAAACCAAAGAGGAGCTGTGTCAATGCGCTAATTCTGAAAGGGTGCAGAAGATCTGTTCACATTAAAATGCAATCCAAATGAATTTTCCTGAGCCATCCCTAGCTTGGATTGATGAATCCGTTTCACTCTTCAGTGCTTCCTGGTCCGCTTTAAAACAATTGGGCTAATTCTCGGAGGCCAGAACAGTAGCAACTCCAGTTCTTTTTCCAACAGAGACAGTGACACCAGACCAGGGCCAGCCCTGAACAGGCCTTCTCCGTGTTGCTGGAATTCCTGGCTTGCAGGAAAGAACTGGTCCCACTTGGGACTCCCCTTCTGGGCCTCTCTTGCCATAAATACTCCAGTGAACAAGAGGCATTGACCTCTAGTAACCCTATGGCCTGGAGTTTGCTGAACTATTTGTGAGAGGAAAGGAAGGAGAAATCAGCAACCAAGACAGAGGATTTAAGGATGAAGGGAAAGTGTGGGGATCTAGAAAGGGTGGATTTGGAATGATGCTGTTTTAACAGGTTGGCTTCCCCGCACAAAAAAACTCAACCCTGCTGCGGACTTCAGCACAAGGTGCAAAAAGAGCTGCATAGAATCTGCTCTGTGTGTGTGTGTGTGTGTGTGTGTGTGTGTGAGAGAGAGAGAGAGAGAGAGAGCGAGCGAGCGAGCGAGCGAGTGCGAGCATGCTTCAAAACATAGTAGGTGGAAATGTGTTTCCAGGATGTCAGAAGTGGGAGGGAGATCAGATTTGAAAAAGAAAAAATTCCCACTCTCAGTGCCCTGTACCTCTCACAATGAGAGGCTCACTGAGCAACCCCCACAAAGATTTTCTTTTGCAGTAGGAAGAGAAACAATGAACCACTCTCAGCTGAGGGCCTCCTGTCAGTCTCTGTATGAGTCACTGTTCTGAGTAGGATTTCGAGGACCCAGGAGACAAGCACAGAGGGGAGGCCCAGCCAGGCTGCCCATAGGCAGACTCCTCTCACAGGGCACTTGGGAGCGAACGACTGATTCAATCGCCCCTGGTCCA